ATGGTTACAAGTATACTACCATCGAATCCTACTTGCTCAGTAAAGTGATTCCGCGTTACAACAACTGAGAGCCGCCTCCGAGCGAAAGACGAGGCTGAGAGCTCAACGCACTTGTCCAGCGACGACGCGGTGGGAATTACTCCCATGGTGTATCTAGACTACAGTCATCCGCATACGGCTAAGACCAATGCCCTACAGTTTATCAAGAAGGACCTCGGTCATCTTGATACGTTCCTCATCGCTAGCAGGCAGTTTCCTCAACTGCGCTACAACTTTCGTGACCAATCCCGACAGCTTATTGTATCTTTTCCCGCACCTCGGCCAGGAGTAAGACCGCTAAGGCATCCTACCTTGTGTAATCCTCTCTGTCTTGGATGCCATATTTCCGGATGATCTTTGCCTCGCGGACGTTGTTATCATCTCTCTTCCACTGATACAAGTTCACCTTACGGAGCAGCTTCTGCTCATGAGGCTTTAATTGTCGCATTATCGAGGCGAAAACCTTTTGGCAAAATTACTACCCCCGACCACTCAACACTCTCCTTCCCAGTGCAGAAGCTACTATCACATAAGAACGATAGAATTGATAACTACATACCGTGGCCGAGCAACACCAATCAAAAACAATCATGCCCCGATGAGGCAGGATTCTTACGCCACTGAACCCCACCAGAGAAGGCGTGGTTCTGCGGGGCAGCTCATGCTTATCTACCTACGATAGTGGTCGGTATGGGCGTGGTTGGTATTGACATCTCCTCCACTTTCGACTTCCACTTCTCATCCCCAACCCTGCCGCTAGAGGCTGCCACCAGCTGTAGGGGAGTCTCCGCCAGCTCAATCCAGATAAGGGCACTGTTATGAACAGCATCGGTCCCCCACCCATATTACCGACAGACTGTCGGCGACAGTCAACGCCCCTGCCATAGCCGACCAGATTCACGCTCCAATCTTGTATGCCGGTGACCTGTGGCAGCCCTCTCATGGAACTGTACAGTCGAGACCACATCCGTGCGACACAATGAACAAGCCGCCCCGAGATAGAGTGATGATAATACTGATAAAATGATTAAACGCCTTATGGGACGCCTACCGTACCAATCTGCAAGCCACTTAAGAGCCTTGATATGCTTACTCAAACACTCAAACGTGGTGGGCCACGAGTGGAAGCAGTAGCAGCAGCATTCAGCACCAACAAATTCAGTATCCAATCGTATTCGTTACAATAGGCAAGAAATTCTTTAGTTGTCTGCAAAGCCCGTATAAAGGTTGGGAAGTTGTACGTGGAGCTAGCGCCCATCGCAGTCACGCTCAGGCTGGAGCCACCGCACTACACCTAACGAACATCAAGTTCGATTTCGGAACCAGAAATTTTGTCAGGACGCGCGAAGTTGGAGGCACGAATCCGAAACGGGAAGATCATACTCGCATTTAAAACTTTCAAATCCGTCCGAGTTCGATAGAATGTTTACAAGTTCGCGTTAATAGAATTTCCAAATTCGTCGAGTACACCTTTGGATTTTCGATTCCGTTCCTTCAGGAAAATCTATCTCGTTGTTCGGACCTTCAATTTCGTGCTTGCGGGGCAGCTATGCCAGTACTCTCACGATGAGGCTTGTGCTTAGTGTTCGCGGGGCAGCTATGCCAGTACTCTCGTGATGAGGCTTGTGCTTAGTGTTCGCGGGGCAGCTATGCCACTACTCTCATGCGGGGCAGCTATGCCAGTATTCTCATGATGAGGCATGTGCTGAGTGTTCGCGGGGCAGCTATGCCAGTACTCTCATGATGAGGCCTGTGCTTAGTGTTCGCGGGGCAGCTATGCCAGTACTCTCATGATGAGGCTTGTGCTTAGTGTTCGCGGGGCAGCTATGCCAGTACTCTCATGGTGAGGCTTGTTGTTCAGTCCTTGCGGGGCAGCTATGCCAGTACTCTAATGATGAGGCCTGTGCTTAGTGTTCGCGGGGCAGCTATGCCAGTACTCTCATGATGAGGCTTGTGTTCAGTGTTCGCGGGGCAGCTATGCCAGTACTCTCATGATGAGGCTTGTGCTTAGAGGCTCTAAGTTCTAAGTTAGAGCTGCACGTTGTGGACTGCACAACTGAATTGCCATTCCACGCGAAGGCGCTATCGAAACTCTTTATATCGTCATAGCCTCATGGAGGGAGAAGGACGGAAGCGGTGATACACTCGGAGGCTATTCGGTATAACAATCAGGTAGTTTATGTGACGGGTACAGCCCCAACCGAACTCTTAGTTCCACTACTAGACGCACCATTCTCTACCATTGTTAACAGTTGAACCCAGATGGAATCAGGATTTGTGTTTAGACTAGGTTGAACTAGTTGGGCTACAGTGGAGTGGTCGTCTTACGAAGGAAGTTGTTGTGTACTCGGATGTGTGGTAAGGCAAGCTGAACAGTGCAATTTTTATGATTTATAACCATGTCACGTCGTGACTGTCTAGCTATCCAATTGGAAGAGGCTGATGCCCTTCGGTCAGCATATGATGCCGAGGTCGGCTTCATGTGGCTGCATCGGCCATCGAGGCCAGCTGATGGAGATGTAGCGTAATACGGTTAGGGGTGCCACGGCCTCATCGTACCACTTCCCTTCTCTCAGCTATGCTATTACCATCCACGGCGAGTGTGATGTCGAGGCCGATGCCACATTCATGTTCACCCTCCCTAGAAGCTACCCTCTCAAACTCGACGCCATCCCAGAGGTCATAGCTGCGGAAGGCTCCGAGGCTGTAGGCGGTAAATTAAGTGAGACGACGGCAACCGACTCTCTCATGCCATTCAAAACCCTCGCATCTCCTCAGAGAAGTTACAAGAGCTCGTATTGGGGAATGTATGGACCCAACTGAAGGCCGGCTACGTCTTCCCCATACTTGCTGCCCTTGCTCCTGTAAGGGACATAATCACTGAGGTAAGCCTCTCTCGAATCTGATGCCAATCAACAAACAGATGTCCTGCTCAGCTGGGGAAGGCTTGGGAAGTGAAGGAGATGGAACGAGAGAAGCAAAAAGCAGAGGCCGTCGAGCGGGAGCGGGTTGAGACTCGACGTGGGGAGTTCGCCCGGAGAGAGGCAGAGAGAGAATATAACGCTTGGGCTGAGCAGATAGCTGCCATACAGGTAGGATGGGTAAGGGATTGAGCTATCACGGAGGAGATATGCTGTACAGGAGCGCAAGGAGGAGCTCCAAAAGGGCTCTAAAGAGAAGCGGAGAGATAAGGTGCGCAGTGCGGTGGACCCTACCGATTGGAAAGAAGGGGAGCCTATAACTCAGATGAAGGTAATGGTAGGCTCCACGCCCATATATGCCCGACACTTGTTGGAACTCATGAGTAGTGGCTAGGGTAGTCTCGGAAAAGCACCTGCAGTGTTTCATCTGCTTTGTAGAGGCCGGACCTCTCCTCAACCCTAGCTCAGTGGTGGCGGTGGCGTTGATCGATAGGTTGATAGAGTAATGAGGATGTCAGCGCCATCTCGCATTCTTTCTTGAGAAGGCATCGGACCAATCCCATATTGATCGTGCTTGCCTTCGCGAAGTTAAGTTTTTTCTCTCAGTCTAAATTCCAAGCGCATTTGGCATTCGTCGAGACCGAGGAGGATGTGGACATCGCATTGACCACCCTTAAGCGTGGCCACAAGATAATGCGGGCGTACAATATGTATGCCTACCGGTTCAAGGCAAGAACTGGCGATCATAAGTCTGCTGATCTTGGTAGGGACGTGTAGCAATTTTATTACTTAGAGAACGGTCCGTCTCAGGCTATCATCAGGATCATGACTCGGATGGAGAGGGCGGTGCCGGGACGAAGCTTCAGGAGCTTCTCACACTTACTGGAGCCGAAGGAGTGTTGGTCGTAGTTTCTCGGTAGGTGTTGGTTTGGACCGCCAAAGGTGGCAGGGTTGGTCTCAGATGGTACGGCGGCATCCACATGGGGCCGCTGCGGTTCAAGCTCATCAACCGGGTGGCACGACAGATCCTCGAGGATGAGGGGGCGATCGACCCCGGGGCCCATCATAATGGGAAGAAGCCGAAATAGTCCTGTTCCTCACTAACTATCAATCATTTTCTAATGCAAGCGCTGTTGATCAGCTAGTCCCTGTTGTGTCCTGCCAGTCAATACCCGGACTGGACCGGGGATGCAGCAGCATGGACCTTTCAGGACCTGTAAGGGGTCGTCTATGGCACATCTCAGCGCTGCTGGCCGTGCTCCACTTCGACAGACGAAACTCTCTTGGTACTCCTCGAGGCTACCATGCTTGTGCTGTGTAACAGTCCAGTTATGGGACTCCCAGTCTCTGTGAAGAGTGTTTCGGAGTAGTTACGGAGGTCTGTGTTGGGCAGTTAGTCAGGAGGGCATTCTATGATGGAGCACACTGGAATTGGTCCTCTCTCGCAGCCTGAGGTGGGCATCTGCCTTTGTTCATGATCCGTCAAGACCATGCCCCTCGTGACTGTCTAGCAATCCAATTGGAAGAGGCTGATGCCCTTCGGTCAGCATATGATGCCGAGGTCGGCTTTATGTGGTTGCATCGGCCATCGGGGTCACATGATGGAGATGTAGCGTAATACAGTCGGGGGTGCCATGGCCTCATCATGCCACTTCCCTTCTCTCAGCTACGCTATTACCATCCACGGCGAGTGTGATGTCGAGGCGGACGCCACATTCATGTTCACCCTCCCTAGAGGCTACCCTCTCAAGCTCGACGCCATCCCAGAGGTCATAGCTGCGGAAGGCTCCGAGGCTGTAGGCAGTAAATTGAGTGAGACGACGGCGACCGACTCTCCCATGCCATCCAAAACCCTCGCATCTCCTCAGAGAAGTTACAAGAGCTTGTATTGGGGAATGTATGGACCCAACTGAAGGCCGGCTACGTCTTCCCTATACTTGCTGCCCTTGCTCCCGTAAGGGACATAATCACTAAGGTGGGCCTCTCTCGACTTTGTCAGGGGTTCCATCAGAAGTACTTCTGACTAAATGAACACTGCCGCCATTCTCAATCTCGCACTCCATGACGCTGAAAAGCCTCATCCGTTTTTACGCTCAGTACGGGGAGACGTGGGAGGCCGACAGGAAGGAGAAGGAGGAGGAGCAGGCGAAGCGAGAGGCAACACCTCTTCAACGGAAAGAGGTTATCGAGCAGGAGCAGGAGGCGGAAGCCACGAGGGCTGAGGTGGTGCAGGAAGAGGCAGCGGAGGAGTATGAAGCTTGGAAGGAGCAGATGGAAGCCATGCAGGTGAGGGGCTTATCAAGGGTGATGGTGGTTACGTGGTACTCAGAGCCGCAAAGGGGAATTTCGGAAAGGCACTTCTAAGGGGAAGGGAAGGACGGAGGCATGTAGAACTCTGGACCCGTCCGATTTGAGGGAAGGGGAGCCTATCACTGAGAAGAAAGTAGTGACAACAGAATGCTCATACAGACTAAGGTGAACACGAACTGCTCTTTCAGTCCAAGTTCCAAGCCCACCTGGCATTCGT